TCGCCCTCTCCTCGTCCTCTCCTCATCCTCTCCTCTCTCTCTCTCCTCGCCCTCTCCTCGTCCTCTCCTCGTCGTCGTCGTCTTCTCGTCCTCTCCTTGTCCTCTCCTCGTCTTTTCTCTGTCCTTCTCTCGTCCTCTCCACGTCCTCTCCGCGTCCTCTCCTCGTCCTCTCCTCGCTCTCTCCTCGCTCTCTCCTCGCCCTCTCCTCGTCCTCTCCTCGTCCTCTCCTCTCTCTCTCTCCTCGCCCTCTCCTCGTCCTCTCCTCGTCCTCTCATCGCCTTCTCCTCGCTCTCTCCTCGCCCTCTCCTCGTCCTCTTCTCGTCCTCTCCTCGCTCTCTCCTCTTCCTTTCCTCGTCCCCTCTTCGTCCTCTCCTCGTCCTCTCCTCCTCCTCGTCCTCGCCCTCGTCCTCTTCCTCATCATCCTGGATCTTGGGTCTTTTGTCCTGGGTCCCTTGTCCTGGGTCGTCGATCGTCAGTATTCGGTGTTCAGTCGTCGGTCCTTAATCCTTGTCCTTGCGCTTCTCTTCTCTTGCCTTTAACTAAGTATTTCTTACAATTTTCTTCATCTACAGGATCTTTACCGTGTCATGATCACTGGTCCACCGGGGACCCCATATGAACACGGCCTCTTCCTATTCGATGTGAAGCTACCACAAGACTACTCCAGCTCGCCACCGGTTTTCCACTATATCTCCATGTGCTCCGGTCGCCTCAATCCTAACCTTTACGAAGATGGCAAAGTCTGTGTGAGTCTACTTGGCACATGGACGGGCAAGGGGAGCGAGGTCTGGACACCGAAGTCAAGTGTTTTACAAGTCCTTATTTCAATACAAGGTTATTTCTATACATCATATTTTTTTAGGTTAAAAAAAGTTACAATTATTATATCATGAATTTATTTATGAGCTAGGAAAGCCATATATTTATCAATTATTCGCCGTCATTATAAATTAGTCGTCATTATATCTTAGTATGAGGCTCAGTTTAAACCCAGGTTCGGCTCTTGTGGAGTTCGACGTATGACATCAGCCTAAATTGCCTATGATTGCTACTGTAAAAAAAAAAAAATCCACGCATCATTCTTTTCTCTAGTTGCAATCCAGTAATAGACCGCTTCGAATTCCAAATTACCGCTGTGTTCCTTGATTACAGACTCATTTGCACAGGGTTAGCCTCGTATCAGTGTTTAAATATTCACAAATACCAACAGAAAAGTAAAGAATGCACAACTTCAACAATACAAACATTTTGAAACTCGACGGACCTTGACTGGAACACGTGAATATTCTGCACAAACTCGAGGTTAACCCTGTGCAAATGAGTCTGTAATCAAGAAACACAGCGGTAATTTGGAATTCGAATGGGGTCTATTGTTTTCTTCACTTTCTCAGGTCTTATCTTGTGTAGCGAGCCATATTACAACGAAGCAGGGTACGAAAAGCAGCGAGGGAGTCACGAAGGACTCGAAAACAGCAGGTTGTACAACGAAATGGTCATCCTAAAAGTTATTCATTCCATGGCGACCATGATAGCGAGACCTCCGTCGGGATTTGAGACTGAGATTCGACAACACTTCGTTGAGAATATTCCCAAGTAAGTAGATTTGGAAAGGGAAGAAAAATATATAAGAAGATTGTCACGCCGAAAAGCTCTGCAGCTATAAATAAGCGTGTGGCTCTTGTTCCAAGATCGATTTGGAATTTATATTAGAAATGTTGATTGTTGCACAGGTAGCCCAAGCGTAGCGTTAGTGGACCGTGATGTATTAGCGCAGCGCACTGATTCTAAAAATAGCTTAAAGATTCGGACAAACATTGCATTCTGYTTAACCGCTACGAGGATTATACGAACCGATTTTATTATTTTTACTTAAAGTTACAATAATAACCCATGTAATATAAGATCAACTGCGATCGGCTGTGAAAATTATCTGCTGAAAGTAAACTTGTAAGTTTGTTTGTCCGAATTTCGCCTTTGTCTTTGATTGGTAAAGAGGTTTTGCACCATCACTGACTAGCGACTGACATGAAAACACCACGTGATCATAAGGCTAGTCAGTCGACCAATAGTTATTCAGAACAATAGTTATTCAAATTGCTCGCCATATTTCAATTTGGTGTATGTGACAGCCAGCCCGTACCGCTCGGAACGAGTTACTTGTTTGGATTAAAAAACAATAGATTGGTCATCCAAACAATAGCACTAAACCTCACTTTACAAAAGCGGTACTGTACTTAGGGAGCAATGAAAATCCAGCTTCCGAGCGGTACTGGATTACTCGTATGTGATAGCAAATTCGGGGATCAAACCGACCATCTCAGATGTGAAAAGCGACGCTTCAGTAGTGCACATCCTTGACTCCATTTTTTCAAATAGTTTTTTGTATTAACCCATGACATTGCATTGAACAATCTCCCTGATGCAATTAAGGTGACTGCCTACTTTTGGAAATTGATTTAAGCTTTTTTTAAAACTTCGATTTTCCGAATTGAAATTTAATGCTGATTCCAAATCTGGAAAGAAAAATAGGGTGTCCCGAGCTCGTTTTCGAGATAATCAGCATTTAATGGAAGCCTACGCACGAGCTTTTGGAG